CACATTTCATTTCCTGCCACCCCCGCCCCGCCCCCTGCCGCGGCGCCCTCGAATTCATAACTTCATCATTTCCGCACCGCAACTTTCGTTTTCTCCTCCACCCGTTCGCCCCTCCCCCTCCCCCGAGCCCCGTCGCGGCGAATTATTCCGATATTTAATCGGTCGCAACTTTCGCCCCCCATCCACCCCCCGACCTACGGTCGTGTGTTTGTCTTCGCGCCGTAAGTTCGTCGATTCAGCTTCCCCCTGGAGAAGAACGATCAATTGGAGGATTGAACCGCATTTTGCTTTCGATCTGGGATGGTTTCTTTCTATCTCACGGTACACTGGCTCGTTTCCTAAATGAAGAATAGATGTTCATGATTGAAGTGATAATAAAATACCTTTCTTCAATCCAACTGGGTTGGTGCAAAATATTGATTAGGTCGAAAAAATACGTTGAAGGAAATTCACTCGATAAGACTCCTAGACTTGTGAACCTGAAGAGTTGAAGATTCTTGACGAAAAGTACGAGAGACATTATATAATGAAGAGTAATTTTGTAATTTGGAAAGAATTGCGCTCCATTAGCAATTTGCTTGCAAATTATTGATAAAAGCCCTCGTAATAAGTCTAAAAATCGACCCAAACGATAACGAAAATGGCAAAAACGAATGAGAAATTCCATGCTATAATATTACCATTGATGAAGTCAATAAATAAACTTTGTGATTTAGGAAAACAAAATGGGTTTGTAATGGTTAAAAGGGAAGTTTCCACGAAGATCAAATTTTTCGTCTGCAGGGAAAAGAGAAATATAACAAAAAGGAGCGAGATGACTGTTTAGAAGGCATTCGAGGTACGCTTCACTTCTAGAACCGCTGAATTTGAAGAGCTACTTAGGAAGGCCAGCCTTTCCGAACCGTGAAAACACTAAAAAGACGATTAGAGCCCATCAAATTCAAAAGCGGAATCTTGCATGAAGTTTTGAAGAAGTTTCAAATATAAGTATAGGAAGAATGTACCAAATTGGTCCGAAAGTACTATTACTCATAGTCTAAATTTATGTTACAACAAGAAAAATCAAAGTAGGTTAGTGAAATAAAAAGCATCAAATCTGGCTTTTTGAATTGTCAAAATATAAAGAATCGTTGCTGACCATCGATATGGGAGCAAAGATACATGTGTAAGTAAACTTAATCCAAATGAACAACATAGAAACTGGTGAGTCAGTTCAAAACTGAGGATTTACTTAATTCATGTAGAACCCGAGTCCTAAGAGGCTCAAAAGTTAAAACAGCGTGAGAAGTGCGGAAACAAACACCGGGCTTAACAGCTTCAAAATCGTACTGAGTCAACGGCATTAGCTAATGCCTGTTAATCTTTAATCAAAGAAAATGAGAGTCAAAGAACCAACCGCACCCATCCCACTTTCGTTGCGTGGTGTTGGTTTTTTCACAAGGCAATGCCTTATGGAAGTATCTCAGGGGCAAGCGCCAACATCGAACACCAAAATTCATCCTAGTATAGAATGCGAGTACCGATGGTGCTCATTTTTGGTTGAGGCAAGATTTCTACCACTTCATGGAAATCAACGAAGTGCTCATCATATTCATTAATCGTTAAAATATTTGTTGCTTTTCTACGGTAGGGAAGTTCCGCTGACGAGTTATAACACAAGTAAAATTTCACGATACTTCAAATTTTGAATTTGAGTCTTACTGAAGAAATCATCAAAGAATGCTTCGTACCGGCTGTCGTCAAGAGCTTGGATTTTCACGCATCCCTTTGCTGCGGGGCAAAACTATAAATCAGGAGCGTTTGGTTTGACGACCGCTAGAAACGGTCAGCGCAGGGTGAGACTTGCGGTCCGGCGGGGGAGGGGAACGAGGCTTGTAACGTCGTAATTAACGGGAGCTCGACATGGCGACGGCTGCTTCTGATGTTTGATTGATGCGAATGCCCGTCACTCCTTTGTTGCATAATTGAGAAAACGGAATCATTTATCCGTCGACTTCGCGCTCAACAACAGCTATCAACACAGTTATAACATCGGCACTCAGCAGCTCCGATATCAACAGCTTTATCAGGAGGGGTTGCCCTCGGAGAAAAGCCGATGGACCATATCTATCTATGTATGTTAATTTCTGTAAGTGTTCCAGGTTTTCAGGTTAGTCAGTGAGTGTTGCTACTTGGTAAGCCTTAGTATTAAGGAAAAGGTTAAAAGTTCCTGAAATGCATTAGCACCTGTAAAATAAAAAAATTGTAAAACAATTATGCATCTTTGGCTCAATTTTTTTTGTCTTGAAGAAGGCGCCTCATCATGTTTGACGAAAATTAGTGACGTCTTTCCCTCTACTAAATGATGAAGGGTTTAATAGCCGAGGACTAAATCCACTGAACGTATCCTCATTCTTAAGTTATCCTGCCGACTTCGAGATTAGCGCGGAGCTCACAGCGCGTCCGTGTGAGCACCGTTGTCGTGGTGTCGACGACGCCCCCTCCCCCGCGAGAAGTTGGATCATAACATATCAAATCATGAGGGAGGAATAACTCCCAGTCAACCGAGGACCCCCGTTCCCGTCGCCGACCATTTATTACTCAGATTTGTTTCTCCCCCCCCCCCCCCCCCNGTTGTCTTCGTCCCCTTTTCCTCGTCCTCGGGGCTCCATTTTTTTTCCCCGACCCTGAGGAAACGGAACCAGTGAAAGCCTTCTCTTAATTATGCACGAATGTATTCGAGTCAGGTGTTCCGTTCTGGATCCGGGTCCGAAGCCCCTCCCTAGCCGCCGCCGCGCCGCCCGCGACAATGTCAAAACTTTTTCTTTCCGTTTGGGCTGGTATATCGCTGCGATGACACACTTTCCGCGACTCCCGCATCCCTTCATGAGTTGGCGAGGAGTCTACAAGAGTTACATTGGTTTTTGGGATAGAATAGAGACGGTAAAGTAACAGAGCCTTACAAAGAGCCAGGCGGATTCGAGACAACCAACAAACTCGGAATCAACAAAACGTACAGAAAACAGAAAGGAGAAAGAGGAGCAGAGGATTATTATGAGAACATTACAGAATTATCGCCGATTAGTATCAAGAAACTGAAAAAAATGAAAACCCGATCATTCCAACGTCGGCTACGCAAAATGGAATTAAAAAGGAGAATGGTAATCGACAGAAGACAACAACCGAGCACGTCGATGAGAAGGACCGCCCGTAGGATCCTATCATCCTCATCTGACGAGGAGGATGATAGTCAGAAAGGTAACAATACCTCTATCTTTAATCATTAATATTGAATCATTTTTTTATCATTGAATATTGGAAATGTTCAATATTTAAATGTTGGGAATGTTTAATATTTAAAAAAAAACATTGGAAATTTGCGATTATGAATTAGGCCTGGTGTGTGTAATTAGATGTTTTTAATTTGCAGAAAAATGATTATTACACATGATATACCGTCATTCCGTATATTCGATTCATAGGGTCTTATGCTCATTCCCTTCTTGCCAATTCTTTTATCCCGATTTATAAATCAACTCCTGCTAATTTTCCTATCGGTTATTTGTTGAAGGTTGATCCTAGAACTGGTCTTGTCATTACCGAGATTTGCAAGGGGCGTCTCGAATCCCTTCGTAACACCCGTCAACGCGCCACCAAGCTGGAGAAATTGAGGGGAATGCCCCGGTCCCTGTTACGCGACCAACAGCTGCTTGACCTTCTCACCCAGGAAGAAGGCAATGGAAGTCCCCCACATCACGATTCGGATGATTCTGATTAAAATTTGTTAAATTGCATCAATTTTCAATCAATCGCCAATTTTCAATCAATTTGCAATTTACATCAATTTTCATTTTTCAATTATTTTTCTCTTTATTTTAAATGTACCCTGTTTTTTCCATTTGATGATTCTAATTAAATGTACGGTTGATGTTGATGTGATGATTATAAACTTGTGAAACTATGTGAAACTTGTAAATTATGTGTAAATTATGGTCAAAATTTTAACGACCGTGGGATTTAGACCTTGATTGTGAAGTTCGCGCGGGGAAATGCCGCGGCAGCGCCACTCCGAGACAGCACGTTCAGGTGATGGTCGATCAGTATTCGAGCGCTCCTGCTACGTCTTGCGTGGTCTCTTCTCTTGCGTCTCAATCTTGCGTTTTTTGGTGGTCTATTTTTCTGTCGTTTTTCCTTTTTTTTTACGTGTGTTTTCTTGTTTTTTTTTCTAATTGTTCATGGACCGTGACCCGCTACCGGAGTGTAAGTTTTTCCTTAATTCCACTTTTTTTACTTACAGTACCAGACCTTAACTGGACAGGATAAACACTTTATACTTTAAACACTCCTCCTGATTTTTCTCCGATTTGGTAGATCAATATATTCGAGATCCTAAAAAAAATTTAAAAGGTCCCTCTGTAAGCTACCCTGTAAGCGTCCCTCTGTAAGCCTCTGTGAAATATGGATTGAAAAGGATTCAAAGGACTTAAATCAAGTATCTCCAAGTGCCTTCGAGGCTTCATAGGTATACGTATCCTTAACTTATATACGTATACTTAAGTTAAATAGTTAGGTTAGTTAGTTATTATAATTTTGAGACATTCAGCGTTATAATAGACTATATTTTCATTGGAGATGTTAATTCGCTACGTCTTATTTACAAATTTTTCTTTTAAAAGAACTTCTTTTTGATTCGTCAATAAGAGGATACCGACAGTCATCATTAAATTACAACCCCGTATATAAGTGAATTAAGGGACATATGTCAATGAATATTTACTTACACATTTGCGGGCGGTGTTCTGTTCAACTCGGGGATTGAAAGAGCGTCATTTGGCTGTGGTACAATTTGAAGTAAATTATCCGGTTCCACTTGATTGTCTTCATGAGTATGAATACCGCCAGCATCAATTGTGTGGAGAGGTGAAGAGTTTCAGAATTTTGGTGGCAATATTAGGTTCATCGCATGTAAGAGGGTTTGTATTTCTGTTGATTGTAGGGGAGTAGATCTGTGATTGGAGATGTCGGAGGGAAGAGCAGTCCATAAGTATGTGTTTGATGGTTAGAGGTGATGAATTGCAGAAATGGCAGATGGGTTGGTTTTCTTTAGATATGATATGGTTGTGAGTGAAAAAAGTGTGACCTATCCTGAGACGCGCAATTTGGACTTCACATGATCTTGATTTATGATTAGATGTTCTTGGATATGGCATGGGGGCTCTACGGAGACGATTCTGTTCACTTGTGCTCCATTCTTGTTCCCACGATTTTGTGATAATTTCGCACATAGCTTTTTTAGCATCTTGCTGAGTGAATGGATGGTGAGTGATGTTCTGCAAAGAGCATGCTTCAGTTGCTGCTCTGTCCGCTGTTTCGTTTCCCAGAATTCCTATATGAGCCGGTACCCAGATAAAAGAGGTGGAGTGGCCATTGGCCAATAAGGCATGAACAGTATCATGGATTAACATTGAAAAGGGATGATTAGTAGGGTTGTATTTCAAGGTGCGGAGTGAGGAAAGAGAGTCAGAGCATATGACGTAATTGATGGTATCATTGTTACAGGAACTAAGTTCTTGTATATATCTAATTGCTTCGAGAATAGCCAGCATCTCAGCTGTGAAAATAGAATTTAACGGAGATAATTTTTGTTTCAGGATAAAATTATTTGATGTATCTACGAATGCTAATCCTACTGATGTTTCTTGTTTAGATCCATCTGTGAAAATTTGTTTGTAATCAAGGAAGTTTTGACATAAAAGTTGGTTTAGTCGTTCCTTGTAAAATGTACTTGATGTGTTTCCTTTCTGATAGGCAGCTAGGTCCAAATTGACAGTATCGATATTGTACATCCACGGGGGGCAGGAAAGGGTTTCATTTGGAGAAAGTTGTAGTTGATCGAGGCTGTATTTTGTTTTCAATTTATCAATCAGCTGCTTAGTGACATAAGAAATAGGTTTTACAGTGTCTGTCACTTCAATAGCATCACATATCATATGTGGATAGGTAGGATGATTTGAAGATGTCATGACTTTAGTGAGATAGCCACTAAGTAGGATCTGCCTTCTCCATTGAAGGGGCGGTTCCCCTGCTTCGGCACACAGACAAATAGAAGGACTAGTTCGGAAAGCACCAAGTACGATACGTAAAGATGATGAGTGAATGACATCTAATGCCCGTAGATAAGTTTTTGCTGCAGATTGATAAACGAAGGATCCGTAATCAATTTTAGATCTTATTAAACTTCTTAATAGAAGTTAACCCCTATAAGATTTGATCCCTGTTCGTTAAGTTGGTTATATTATCTCTCGAGAGACTTTTTGATGTACAAAAAGTTGGCAGGATATCCGCCAGATCTGGGGCCATATAAGGGACATCGGTCGGTGGGTGCCGAAATGTTGGGGCCGGGCTCCCTACGGTGGAAATCTTATCTTGATGAATCCAGTCATCAGGGCGAATCAAAGTTCTCTTTGGTACGTCGGCACTGTCTCTGGGAGTCAGTAACCCAGCTTGTGCGATTGTGATGCATCTACGATTACCCCGCTCTGTATCCGTCTTCATGCAAGAAACAGGCAGAAGCGGGAGACGAGGGCAATCTTCAAGATGTGTCACACTCGTTGACAAGTCTTATGGCTACCGAGAGATGTGTCGTCGTATCGAAAGAATAGAGAAAACGTCCAAATATTCGGCAACCGATGTAGTTATTGGCAATAACGCAATTATGGCTTGGTTTGTTGTGACGCAACGACGTACGTGTATCCAAGGTTTAATGTTACACTTTGCTGGTGTCAAAGAAACGCCTCATCCTTGCGGCATTTGTACTCCTTGCCGTCACCCTGAAGAATTTCCGATACTCGACATTGTTTCACCCCTATTGACATTCTTACCACAAATTCAAGAAATGGTTTCGCCCACAAAATCCTGTTTCCTATGTATCTCTAAAATTTTTTGCGGGCACCAAACGCCACTTCTTAAACAATTAAATTACACGCCGCCCGAATTCGGTTGCTGCCTAGGGAAATCCAGTTCAACTTGTATTATATAATCTTTCAATTTTGTCCGCTGCTGGGATTCTCACTAGCGAAATGACATATAACGAAGAACGGCAAGAGGTTGGTGATTTCCGTCTTCGAATTGTTTTATAAGTAATGTTTATTCTATTCCAATAAACTATCCTTTGGATTAGTCTGAGATGATACTTCTTTTGTTTCTAGGTACAGACATTATTCAAAACTTCCCGACGCAATTGCAGCCTTAACAAGAAGTAATGAAGGTTTCATCGTAGCAAATGAGTTTGATTACAGCGGCAAAAGAGCTTTCCTCTTTATGAACTCCCCAAGTTTGTTTTATAAATTTATTAAAAAAAAACTGGAAATTTCACATTCAATTTCCCAAGTTATTACGAAGTCATAACCGAACACAGGAATGTAAAAATATATTTAGATATTGAATGGGATACAGCCAACAGGAGACAGGATATTTTCCCCAATTTCCGTGCATCGTTTGAAAACTACATCAATATTTTATACGAAAAACCAATTGAATTTTTTTGGTCATCGTCATCTATGGGAACGAAAGAATCGTACCACCTTGTGATCGGCGGCTTGAGTTTCCGCACCAAATTAGACGTTAAAGCCATCGTTGACAATTACTTACAAGGCTTATCACCGATCGTTTTGGGTAATTTTATAGTGAACGGAAAAAGTATTGTCGACACATCGGTTTACTGTCGCGGGTCGCAGCAGTACAGACTTTTGTACAATACGAAGTGGGTTTCACCACATGATTTGAGGAAAGGCGTTCGACAACGGCCTTTCCTGCCATTGGTAGCAATCGATGAAAATTCTTTTCAAGATTTTATGGTCCAGGTCTTACCCTATGAGGCGGAAAAGCATCCATTACAAAATCTTAGTCAATTGAAGATAAGTTTGGAAAGTAGCCCCTCACTTATGCCTCATACAGTAATTCGGAATATCAACCCATCAGATGTATTGCCCCCGCAAGTTGTTGAGAAGATCCGAACGTGGATAAAACCCGGGTTGATTACAGGTTGTTCTAGTAAACAAGTCGGAAAATACCGTGTTTCTACAACAGGCAAATTTTGCATAATACGTCAACGTGCTCACAAAAGCAAGTCCTCAGTCATAAGTATACTTATGCAATCCTGTGAGATTCTGATAGAGTTTGAAATATTGTTGATTGCAGGCTATTATGGAGTGCCTTGAGGAGGACACAATTGAAGCCGGAATTTAAGAGCGACAAATAGCCTAGGGAAAAGGCAACATCGGCAAAGATGGTGTACCGTACTTGACTGTAATCGCAGATGCTGGCTGGTCGCATCGCAGTTACGGCCACAAATATACGGCCAAATCAGGCTGCGGCATTATAATTGGAAAGGAAACTGAGAAAATTCTCTACCTCAGAGTACGAAACAAGTACTGTAGTGTCTGTGCTATAGCTCAGCGTAAGAGAGAGGCCATACCAGAACACAAGTGCTACAAAAACTGGGATGGGACCAGCCCGCCTATGGAGGTTGACATCATCGTGGAGGGCTTCAATAGAAGTGAAGAGATGTACAAAATGACATACAAGTACCTAATCGCAGACGGTGACTCACACTCAAGTGTGCACAAGGGTGTACTTGAGCGTGTGTCTTGCGGACATGAAGTGCAGAAGCTCGAATGCGTTAACCTCCTGACGAAAAATGTCAGTAAAGGGAATTTATGAATTCCAAGCCACTCTGAAGAATGACACCGAAAAAAAAATCTTAACCAACAAAAGAATTAAATGGTACACCAAGTACGCTCGCGGCGTGTTGGAGGAACTTTCCAAAAACGAAGAGCCCCAAACTGAAGTGGTTGCAGTTATCACCAATATGAGCAAGCATTTCCTTGGGAATCACCGAGACCGTCGCGCCAGATATTGCCGCAAAGCTGGCACAAAGGAAAAGACAGAGTTTCCACCATCCTTTTCGGTGCCCCTGGCCAACATCCTGAGTAGCCTCACAAATCACACTACCAGTATCATAGAAAACGAAACTACAAACTTGGCCGAGCTGTACATGCACCTGCTGGCTGTTTTCATAGGTGCAAAAGCTGTGTTCTGTGGCAAAAGGTCAGGATATATATAAACTCCACTCCTCTGCAGCTTGTCTTCTCTTCCATCACAGCCACTATTAGAGGAGTCCCCTGTACAGGCACATGTATCAGCGAGACCCCCCCCCGTGGCTGCAGGATTTCGAGGCCAAACGAACACACAAGCTGCTGGAGCAGACCAGGAAGAGGGAGGAAAACTCTCGAACCTGCTCCTTCGTCCAATACTTTTGGGCCAATGACATCGATATGATGGTAAGGCAGGCTCTCAACCTCGCCAGAATCCGGGCACTGATTGCGGCATATACAGCCAACAGCCAGACCTCCCAACTACAACACAGAAGAGAAAAGTCGATGAGCACTTTACTGATCCAAGTTGCTCGCCAGAATCCGGGCACTGATTGCGGCATACACAGCCAACAGCCAGACCTCCCACCTACAACACAGAAGAGAAAAAAAAGTCGATGAGCACTTTACTGATCCAAGTTGCTCGCCAGAATCCGGGCACTGATTGCGGCATATACAGCCAACAGCCAGACCTCCCACCTACAACACAGAAGAGAAAAAAAAGTCGAAAAACACATTACTGAGCCAAGACCTACTGAATATGTGTACTTTTTGATATTACCTTGACGATTAAGTAAATGGGGAGCTACCGTTCAATTTTTGTACTTCTAAATTTTCTGACACTCCCCATGTAGTTTTTTGTATTTTAGACAAGCCTATTCATCAAAGAAAATGCAATGCTACCGTTGTATATTTGTACTTATGTATTTCTTTACATTTCCCTTCTGGTTTTTTGTATTTTCGACAAGGTCATAAATCAAGAAAAATGTAATGCTGCCGTTCAATTTTTGAACTACTGTTCTTTGTGGAACCTTTTTTTGTGAGACTTAAGCTCAGAGACTTTTGTTCAGCTGTGACAAGCCCTTTCAAGACTTCAGGGAGCCCTTTGAGGAATTCTTCGTCCTGTCTTCTGAGATTTGAACTCAAATCGTCATGGAGAGACGAAGTTTGCTGTTGTTACTTCTTGGATTCAATTGGTGTTCCAACCGACATCAATTCCGACACAGGTAAGATAATGCCGGGCTGCGAGCCGCTCATCGAAATTAAAAGAAGGATTATTCGCAATCGTCATACGCTTTTGATGAGAAATTTCCGATGGGTAAAACTTTCTGGCTGAGACAAGGCATCATGTCAATCTTTTCCTAGTCTTTTTCTTCGCTTTCTCCTTCTCGTTTCTTCGCTAAATCTGCATTAAATATAACATATATAACATGTGTTCATATAATGTTTTAGTGTGTATAGTGTGTTTAAAGAGTAATATATGTAATCTTACTTCTTCATTATATTTTTCACAACAAATTGGTTTTTTGTTTTTGTTTTTTATTTACTGTTACATAATCTTGATGATGATTATGATGGAGTCCTCAAAGATTATTTAAAACTGCAATCTTACATCAGCAACGATTGCGGTGTGAAAATTCGTACGAGGCGGGACCTTAACGTACATCTAAGAAGTTGTGTATCAAGGCAACTGGATGCCCAGAGGAATTCCCATAAGTATACTCAGAGAAAACATCCAAGATAACAAATGCATGATTAAAGTTCCTAAAGGCACGAGGCACCGGGCCAAAAACATCAACCGATACAAGTTCGAGCTTTGCGCTCGCTGTCACTGGTACAATTTTGGATTGAGTGTGACTTCGGGGTGCCTTGCTTTTCTGACATTCTAAGCAGGTTGTTACACATTTATAAATTAATTTTTTCATTCCTATAAAAATTACGATATTCTTTAAATAATTGTAAGTTTTGTTATATCCTAAGTGAGGTGCCAACGTTGCCAAAATTGTTGGGCATACAACTCCACCAAAGCGTCATATCTAAATTCGGGGTTCCGACTCGAGACTACGCCAAAATTACTGTCGTGTTATGGAATAACCTCCGCATACCCTCGTGAGTTTCCTCTTCCGAAAGTTCTTAACAGGCACCTGTTCTCAGCCGAACAAATACAAAAAGAAGAAATAATAACTACACGCGTACACATAGTAAAACATTATGAAAAATACCTTTATCGTCTGCTAAATTTTACCTACTTATATTCAAATTTGGTAAAATGGATTTCCGT